TATTTCTAGAACACTGACAGCCTGTTCTCCAGACCATCCTGCTTTCCTGGGGTCCCTGATCCCCAGTGGAACCTGAACCACACTCTAGTTTTGCCTGCTTATTTCTGATGTTTTGGTCTGTTGTGACCCATCTCCTTGCTCTGTCTCTTAGTATCCTTGTTCCTGTGGGTCCTCTTGTCCATAAACTACTGCTTGTCTGGCCTTTGGTTTCTGTATGGCCCTAACCATCAATGCACAATAATGTCTGGCCCAAGACTCTGTTGGCCATTCCGGCACACAGAATCCATCCTTTGATTTGTGATGGAATTGAGACTAGGCACCTCAAAATAGAGGGTGAAAGCAAGATGCTCCTTGGAGGCAAGGATTTTGAATCTCCATCTCACATGCTTTGGACATGTGGCCAGGAAGGAACTGTCCCTGGAGAACATGCTTGGAAGGGTAGAGGTATCAACAACATAGGAGAGGAAGTCCTTGGCTGAGAAGGATTGGCACAGTAACTGGAGAAACGGGGGTAGATGTGTTAGAATCAGTGAGACTGGCTCAGGATAGAGCAGAGTTCAGAGCTATTGCACATAGCAGGCAACTCAACAGCACATCACAACAACAATAACCTCACCAGAGAATCATCATTCCTCTGAGAAACTAACATTTATCTTTAACTAGTCCATCACTAGCAACATTTTTTCTCCACTTGAATTACATACAGTCTATTCTGACCACTGCTTTTTAACCAGCCTATACCTCTAAGAATGCTAGCTAAATGCTGCTTATGTGAACAGCCACTTTCAAGGACATTGCTGGTTCTTCTAGTTTATTGGTTTTCACATGTTTATGTTTCTCAGCAGAAGGTGTGTGTGTGAGTGCAAGGATGTACATCTGTAATTTTCCTCTAGGCCATGGATGGCAAAGAATGTTGTGAAAAGCAACTAAAGTAACAATCAGTTCTACTTCCTTCCCAACTGTGTAACAAGGTAGAACTCTAAATTTCTCTGATCTGCTTCTCAATTAATAAAGCCAGAGCAAAAAATAAGTCAAGTCTATTTATACCCACAGAATGTCAAAAGAGGAAAATGTACTTGTACCTAGGCATGGCTGTGATGTTCAGAGATGAGCTAACGTGAGGCTCTCCAGTTACTGTAAAGGTACAACACCGGCCTCACCCTTAAACCCCAGTGATCTTGGAAGGTTGAACTCCAGCCCACTGGGAGCTGAGGTCCCACTCAACCTCCATCCCCACATGTCCAGGACCATACCAGGTAGCTCTTTCAAACAGATAAAAACAAACTAAACCATTGTTGTCAAACTGCTTCCAACTCACGGCACCCCCATGTGTTCCAGGACAGTAGAACTGCTGCATGGGGTTTCTTGATTGTAACCTTCAAGACTATAGTGGCACAATGTGTACAAGTTTGGCTGCTAACCAAAAAGGTTAGCAGTTCAAACTCCTCAGCAGCTTTGAGGAAGAAAAGGCCTGTGATGTGCCCCCTAAGTATTCTGGTTTAGGAAACACGATAGGGCAGTTCTGCTCTGTCCTACAGTGTTGCTATGAGCCAGAATCACCTGGACGGCACATCACAAAGAACTTCACAGAAGCAGACCGCTGGACCTTTCTGCCACATTATCAAGGAAGGGCTCAAACCACCAAGTTTAAGGCCAGAAGACGGGTACAAACGACTTGCACCATGTAGGGAATTTTCCTTTAGACAACGTGAAGGAAAAAAAGATTCTGAAGACAAGTGGCTGCAAGGGATGAGGGCACCTGACAGTCTGATTCCAGCAGGTGCATGGAGGGGGTGTAACCATCATCATGCCCCAAGGCAGGCACAGTGAAGCACACATACAGCACTGGCTGACTGTACGGAGGTGAGGGATGTAAGGAAGCAGTGAGCAGAGGGCACCAGTCGAGTACAGCCAAGACCGCTCTACAGCTCAAAAGACTCAAGGAACTTGCTCTTACCAGATTAAACACAGACCACAAGAGCAGCAAACTCTTCAGAAGCAGGGCACTGCTGAGGCCAATGCCACCCTGTCAACCCCTGGCTAGAAATGGGCCCCAGTGGCAGGAGCAGCAACAGAAACCATACCAGGTGGCATAAAGAAAAGGGCAATAAAAAGCCGCCCACACAGCATAATTACAGGTGATCTGAGAGGAAGGTCTCTGGACCAGCTTCAGATGCCCCATGAGTTCCTCAGTGTGGTAACTAAAATCAGGGGTGTGCATGCTTTCACCTGGAGGAGGCATCCACATTTTCCCATTATATTTTTTTTAATATTTTATTTATAATGGTTTCCTTACAAAGGTTCATATACACTGTGTTTCACACTATCCTTTCACACTGTATTTCATACAATCATTCCAATTCATTATCTTTTATAAAATTCATCAACATTGAACTATGCCCACCATTGCCCTGTCTTTCCAGACCCATTATAGTCATATATATACACACACATATATATTTCTATATATATCTATGTATATAGATCAAATACGCTATATTTAAAATGTGCACATTCATGAAAGCCAGTTGAGGCTAAACTGGCATTTGATCCATTATATTCTTAAAAGGACCCATGACTTCCCAAAAAGTTAAGGGCTATGGGTCTGGGCAGGTCTTCATGACAGCTAGCTTGGACAAGGTCCTGATAAAATAAGATAGAAGCTATAACTGGGATGGCCAGGGTGCAAGAGAAGGGTCACAACGCAGAGTGGGAGGTGGGCGGTACCAAAGACCAGCTTTGACGGTTTTCTAGTTTGCCCAAGCACTGGTTCTACTGCCATCAATGGCCTGGATGGCATCAGTCAACCACTCTTATTTGTCTGCCTCTCTGCAGGACCACATGCCTATTTTACAAAATTCTCTCTCAAGAAAACGCTATGGAAAAGAAATCCTCAAAGAGAGAGACCATAGAAATAAATACCACAAGCCAGGCTGTCTGGCACTGTGGTCAAATGCCTTACTCTGTGAGGGAATATGTGAGAGGTTAGCAAGAAAGATGACATTTTCCTCGGAAATAACCTAGAATGCTGAATTTGATACCAGAACCATGGCTAACTGTTTTCTGGGAAAGCCCATGCTTTCTGGCAATAGGTCAGGCAGGAGTTAAAAGGCTCTGAGCTCTGTGTAACCTGACCCTGGGGCAGCTGTGGGTTTTGCATGCTCACCCAAGCCTGCTTCTCCCATTAAGGGCTAAAAGGTAGGTTCATCCTTTCTAAATGAGGCTGAGAATTCTAAAAACCCTCATCAGAGCTGCATTTATAAATCATGATTCAGCAACAGATTGTATTAATTCTACCTACACTTAAAAAAAACAAAAAACAAAACCACACCAAACCAAAAAACCCCAAAACACCAAACCTCCCAAACCTTCTCAGACAGGAGGGAGTTTGGTTTACATTAATAATGAGGTTCTCTGCTTCCTTCTCTCAATTCTAGTTCTCCAAGCCTCAGGGAGAGATGACCTAATGAGGACAGGAGAGGGGGTGGGAAAGCCCCAGGCCCCTGCCGCCTGGTGAGGGAGCCACATTTCTTACCACAAGGCATGTACAAATTGCCCGCAGCTGCACTAGCAAAGCTGTACTTGGGAAGCCCTCCCCTCCTCCCCCCTCTCCCCTTCCCTCTTCCCCTGGGGTTATTATCTCCCCTCTCTCGCTCAGGCACTGCCCTGTGTCTTCTGCCTTTGTACTCAGCTTTGTCTGCAAATCAACTCCACAGGGTCAGCCTGTCCCTCAGCTAAAGGTCCTTAGGACCCCCTGGTCCACCTCCTCCAGCTCACACAGCTCCTGCCGGAGCTGAGGTGGGAGGCCAAACACAGTGATTCCCCAGAGTTTAAGATGACAAGGAGTCAGGATTCATTCAGGTCAAGGGTCCTCAGATCTCAACCTTCTGAAGATGGGAGAGGGAAGGCAAGGAAGCAGAGGCCCCCAGAGGCCCAAAGAGCAGGGTGTGTGGTTAGAGCAGGACTTCCGCAACCTCAGTGCTGGCTGGAAGCCACCTGGCTCTCCTCACTGTACAAAGAGTTCCTCTTTTAGGGGAGGCTCTAAGTCTCCAGCTTTTTTATCACTGCTACATCACAGGTCAGCACTGGTGCTGGCTCCAGGGAGGGCCCCTAGAATAAGCTGAAGTCAGCAGCTCCCGGGGCACCAATAATTAGCCCCACCCAGGTCTCCACAGTGAAGAGGGGCTGCTGCGCGAGGGCTGGCCTGCAAGGCTGCCTCCTCTCAGGCAGCTCCCTGCCTGCTGAGGTCTTCCTGGCACATGTGAGCACCTTCTCTGGGTGTTCTTAGCATCCCCTCTGCAGTGATGCTATCTGGGTAACTGGTAAAATTTCAGTGAGGCCTTGCTCTTTATGAGTTGCTCTCATATATATCATTATTCTTTGAGAGAATACAATGATGGATTCCTTTTGTTTTTATGTTCCTTTTTGCCCCAATTCTGAAAAAAAGAAAAAACAAAAAAGTCCTACTCCATTCCAATCACCAGTCCTATTCAATCGCCATCTACCATCCATAGGCCTTCTTTACTGACAGACAGCCAGAAGCAGAGTGGTTCAAATACTTGGAAGCTGACCTCATGACTGTCAGCTCAAAACCACCAACCACTCTGTGGAAGAAAGAAGAGACAGTTTGTTTCCATAAAGACGTACAGCTTTGGAGGGAAGTAAATGTTTTTTTATTGCCCTACAGGGCAGTTCTACTCTGTTCTATAGGGCTGCTATGAGCTGGAGTCAACTCAGTAGTGGGTTTAGGTTTGGGAACACAGCTGATGGCCCTAAGAAGTAAAGATGCTCCATCCTCTAAAAATTAGCCAAACCAGCATTACACCCACCTCTAGTCAGCAGCAAAGCTAGCACAGGCAATACTGGAGGAGGGTGAGGGCACTTTACTGTCTGCTCAGTGCTCCTAAATGCTAGCACTCAAAGGATTTGGCTCTGTCTCCTGTTTAGATATTAAAACTACTTCAAGAACGTGGATTCCCAGTGCTCCAGGCTAACATTACCTTTGAGATGTAGGTCAGCTGCAAAGATCCAACAGCTCCTGCCCCAACTGCCAGGTTCTGAAAAATATTTTTTTTAAAAAAAACATTATGTGAGGAAGGAGAAACAGTACTAAGAAACAGAAGAACCAAGTTCTGTTTAGGCTACTTACTGGATTTAAAATTTGAGCAAGTTACTTAACCATCCTTTGGTTCACATTGTTATTATTTGTGTGTGTGTGTGTACCACCAAATTAGATCTGACTGGCACAGGAGGAGATTGCCCCTCCTTCTCCAGCAGAGCATCTGGTGGATTTGAACTGTGTACCTCTGAGATGGCAGTACAGCTTCTTGCCACTAGGCCACCAGAGCGTGCCTTACTTTTATCACTTTTAAAATACTAACAATTTCTGCTACAGGATTTCTATTGTATGCATATGTGAACATTAATGTTACCCCTTCCTAAACTCTTATAGAGAAATACTCAAATTTTGTGGCTGAAAGTGTCCATTCTAATATTTAGCTGTGAGCAAGTCCTTAATTATGCTAAACCTCAGTTTTTTCCTTCTATAATTAGAAATAAAAATCATAACCACCTTACAGGGTTGTAAAGATGAATTAATACAAAAGCACTGGGAACAGTCCCTGATCTACAGAAGACACACAAGCATTACCTGCATCTTTGTTTTCTAACTTCAAATTATTCCATGCCACTTCAAATAACTTTCCCAAGAAATAGGACATAAATATGCACAACCACAGCACGGAATTTTTTTTTAATGTAATTGTTCAGCCTCCCTCACAGGACTGCCGTGAGTAACAGAAGTGATGTCTGGTGAGCTCTGGTGGCCTAGTGGCAAGAAGCTGCACTGCAATCCTAGAAGTACAAGGTTCGAATCTACCAGATGCTCTGCTGGAGAAGGAGGAAAAATCTCCTCCTGTACCAGTCAGATCTGATTTGACGGTACACACACACACAAAAAATAATAAAAATAAAAAAATTTTAAAAAATAAAAAAAAAGAGCTGATGTCTGTACGGGATAAAGTACTAAATGTGATATAGTAGTGGTGCAAATGGTTACATGCTGAGAGGTTAGCAGTCTGAACCTGTCCAGAGTTGCCACAAAAGACGGGCCTGGTGACCTGCTTCCTAAAAGTCACAACTCTGAAAATCCAATGGGGCCGTTCATTCTACTCTGTGCACGGGGATCAGCAGAGTAGGGTCAACTCAATAGCAATGAGTAACAATCGGAGCAACAAGAAACTCACAGGCACACGATCTCGCAGTATCCTCTCCTTTGGCATAACTTCTCCCTCCAGGTTTCAAATTCCCCCATGGCCAGAGATGGAGCAGGGCCAACATAGGGAGGATAATATAGCAAAGAAATGGCCAAGATTACAGCTTCAGAGTGTCTAACATATAACCACACTCCAATTTAAATCCACCCCAAGTATCTGTCTCGAGTTTCTGGTAACTTCAGAAATGTTTGTCTTAAGGTCCTAAAAACAACCTTTGAAAACCATATCACCTGGTAGGGGGGTGGGGGAAGGACATCTCTATAAAAAATACAGGTGAAATCTTGGATAATGGGAATTTGGTAAATGTCCTAAAAGAAAGATTCACAGTGAAAATTCTTATTGGTACCAAATATATCTCAATGATCTGTTATCCTAGGAAAGCCACATTAAGAAATAACTTATACTCTTCGTTTCACTTCCCCCTCCGAAGAGAAAAAGAAAAAAAAATAACTTATACTCTTTCCTTCATTCACATACTCTTCACACTAGGGATTATCAAGGGTAGGAAGTGTGAAACATAAAATATATGAATTTTTTTTATGCAAACCAATATAAAAATAATTTTTTAAAAAATTCTTAGGTGATAAGGAAGTCTTTCTGGCCCCGATGACCTAAATTCATTTCTATCATTTGAAGCAAACTCAGTATGTAAAATTTCAGATTCATATGAAACTGGTTAGGAAGAACACCATAATAAACGAGTTTTGAAAACCTAGAATCTTAATGACAAATATATACTCTCAAGCCCTCCCTTTGCAAGTGAGGAGATTCATCTAAAAACTACCTTTGAGTCGCCATATTAATGTTGCAAACATGGATGATTTGATTACACATTCTTTTCCCTTGACTTCACAGTTGGAACTACATAGTTAATTCTTTTTTATGTTTTGGCAATCTTGTACTGGGTAAGAGAGATGTGTCCTACAGTATTTAACTATGGAGCCAGAGCTCCCTGAGAGTAAGTAACTGGCATGGCTAGAGAGGACAAAGCCACCACTCCAGGCAAACTCAGTGTGTTAAAAGCAGGAATGCACATCAAGGTCAAAGCCAAGGGTCCGAGGGACACCTGGAGCCACAGGCTTCTGCTACAGACTTAGCATGTGCCTATCTGCCTCATTCCGCAGTTGAGGAGAGTGGCATGTAGGTGAGGGGCTCTGTCACAAGACACTCGATCAGGGATGGAGCTGGAAACAGCTTAGGTCTGCATGCTGGAGTAGTGTGATAGAATTTCAAAAGCTTGAACTATGACAGGAATCAATCTCTGTCTGCAGGCAAGTTTCTTTACTTTTAAAATGGGAATCATCAACTTGATTTCAAGGGGCTGCTGTGGGAATCACACAGAAATAGAGAGACTAGCATATGGCTTATATGCCATCCTGTCCCCCTCCCACAGCACTAATTACAAGATGCAAGTGCCACGTCTCAGTGCTGGCCTTGCACAACTCACTCTCTTCACCCCAGACCACAACTCAAAGGCCTCCAGAGCCCTAACTTGAATTATGAGTGATGCAGTGGGATTTGGGGAGCTGTTCTGACACTAGTCCGCATGTAATGACAGATAGGAATAATCAGATTTCAACTACTTCATCCCCTCCACCCCTCTGGAGTTACTCCACCCTCAGTTCCTTCCTTCAACTGCCTGTTCATGGGGGTAGAGGGGAATATCCATTCTCTAGGCTTAGTGACCCCAGGGGAGTGAATGGGGTTGTCACACCCCTCACCCACACCCCACTCACAGTCTTCTCTTTGGCTGACATATACCTCTATGAGAAGCCAGGAAAATGTAACAATCATGTGAAATAACAATCTCCACCACCCAGAAGGAATGGATGACACACAAGAAAACAGCCCCAGGATCCCTAAGGTTTGATCCAAAATGATGGCTCAGTGTCCACTCTAATTACTGGACTTTTAAGACTAATGGTGCAGCCACTGCCAGGACGGCACACTGGCAGCTCCCAGCAGACACTTCTTAATTAAGGAAGAAGGTGGCAGTGTGCCTGAGCTGAGGGCCGTGGCAGCCAGATGTCAGGGCAAGAACACCAAGAAACAGCACCTGGGAGCCCAGATGTCAGAGCTGGAGAGAGAAGCCTAATAAATCTTTTTGGCCACAACACTGTCTCCTCTAGGAAAAAAAAATGATGCTCTGGACCCATCTTCCAAAAGCCCTTCCCATCCACTTCAGTCTGCTCTGATGGCCCACCATCCCCTGCCTCTTGGATTTCAGGGGCTTGGAGTCTTTTCCAACTTCAGCGTGTGCCAGAATCCCCTGGGGAGCTTGCTTTAAAAGCCCAGGCTTAAGATCTGCCTCAAGAATACATAATCTGAATCCAGTGGAGTCAGGATTAAGTCAGCACAGATATATTTTTGCAATGCTCCAAGTGACCCTTAAACATATCCAAGTTTGTGACCCACTAGTCTGTAAGAAGGGGGAAAAAAAATCTTAGCCCTGGATTTTTTTACTACAGTCTATTTTTCTATGAGTTTGAGTCTTTTTTCTCCAATTATATCTGAAGCATATTGAGACCATGAATAGAATTTTATTGTTTTACCCAGCAGACTCCTTAGTTTTTAAATAAAAACAGTATTTGCATAGTTGTTAAGTTCTCAAACCATTCCATAAAACTTGCTAACTGCATAAAGTGAAAAGAAAAATAAATAACACAAACAAAAAACAAAAACAAAACCCAGTATAGTTTCTGTCTACCACGGTTAAACAATGTTTCTTTGGAAAGACATGCTCATGTTGGGCACTAAGAACACTCATCTCTTTCTATTGTCAGAGCCATGCACCACTGAATTAACAGTTCCCACATGGCCTGTGGTAAGCATTTGTTTTCTTGATGTTGATATGTAATCTGTACTGAAGGTTGTAGTACTTGATCTTCTGCAGCAAGCATCTTAAATCCTCCTTGCTTTCAGCCAGCAAAGTTGTGTCATCTGCATAATGCAGGCTGTTGATCAGTCTTTCTCCATCAGGCAACATCATGAGATTGAGACTGTCAATGATTTCATCTTACTTGGGTCCACAATTACCACCTCTAGTATTAGCAGTCAGGAGATCAGGAACCACATAATTTTAGGAAAATCTGCTGTCAAGGATGTCTCCAAAGCCATGAAGAATAATGTCAGACTAGGACACACTTGATTTAAGCCACAGTCTTTCCAATTACCCGCTATGCACCTGAGAGCTGGACAAATGAATAAGGGTGACAGAGGAAGAATTGATGCCTTTGAGCTGTAGAGTACTTAATATCCCATGGACTGCCTAAAGAACAAAGCCACGTCTTTGAGAAAGTGCAGTCAGAGTGCTCCTTAGAGGCAAAGATGGGCAAGGTTTTGTCTCACTTACTTGTTGTTAGGAGGAGCAGTTCTTAAAGGGGAACATCATGCTTGGGAAGGTGGAGGGACAATGAAGAGAGGAAGAACCTCAATGAGATGGACTGACATAGTGACTGCTGCAATGGACTCAGGCGGGTTGGAGATGGTGAGGACGGCACAGGACAGGGCAGCGCTGACAACTATTGTTCACACAGTCACTATAAGCAGCACTCAATTTAGCAGTATGTAACAACAATGTAACCTCAAATAGGGTAGGTTGTGACAGGAGTCAGGGTTGAAGCAGCATGAAGGGACTGAGAAATGGGATCATAGGCTTAGAGGAGGGCAATGAATGGACTGAGAAAAGGGACAGCAAGTGCCTGAGATGAAGGCAATGTGAGCCATCAAGTACGACTCACAGTGAACCTATGAAAACAGATCTGAACTCCTGTCCTACCTAC